GGTCCTTATATATATATATATATATATATATATATATATATACTTCTTAAGGAGAGTTATCAATCGAGTTAATTTAACCTATCACTGTTGCATATAAAGTAGTATGATTATTGGCTTATCAAATTAAGTAAGTTGACTCATTTTCTTTTTTCTTCTTTTTTTTTAATTTTATAAAAAACAATAACACTAGACTAAATAAGTTCGTAGGTTTCAAACTTAAATAGTATTGATTTTTTCGAGTTCAATTGGCTTAATTATTTTTAATTCTCCTTTATTAAAAACTCAATTTGTCGAACTATTTTTTTTTTTTTCTTTACAGTTCTACTCTTGACATTGTCTCTAACAATTCCAAAATAATAAATAAATGTAGAGTAAAGTTATTTACATTTCAATATATTTATCAGGATTCTTTATTTGGCATTTCAAAATCATGTTTTGCTAACTATTCTTTCAAACAAATTTAAAATCATTAAATTTACTTAAATCATAGGAGCTACATTTTAATGTCTATTTTACACTCTTCGCTTTTATTATTTTTATGCAAAACAGTAGTAACATGTTTTTATATATAGTTTATTAATTTTATTATTAATTCAAATTTATTAAAACTATAAAGTTATGGATTTTATTTTTATATAACAATAAAATGAAAAATCAATTAAATGTATAAATTATTTAAATATCTGACTTCTGTGGTGTGTAATAGCATTCTTAATTTTTGTCAGAGCTATAAATTATATTTTATATTTAATATTATATACAATTAAAATAAAATTTTATACCGAGTGCATCATGATTTTAATTTCTAAATTAGAAACAAAATTGTGTGTGCGTGTATATATATATATATATATATTGATGAGAAATTCATAAATTATTAATTAATTGCTTAAAAAAGTTAATTGCACGATGCTTTAATTTAAAAAATATATACATTGTGATATTTTTTATTGAATTTGTAGAACTACAGCCAAAATATAAATTTTAAGAAGGGATGCTTGTAGTATTTATTTTGAATCATATTTTCAATATTTGAAATGATATATTTATTGGAATGTTAAAATTAAAGTTCGAAAAAAAAATATTAGATAAAAAATAAAGAAATTTGACTCCCTCT